GATAACTCTAATAAATTACTGAAATTATACCTTTTTTTTTGAAGGCGCTGACATTTAAACCTGTTTCCTGTCACGCTTTGATTTTGCAACCTGTTTCAGATTCTCCTATTATGGAAATTACTGCAGCCTGGAATGTTGTGTTCAGGTCAGGAGGATAACTTTTATTCATGTTGATACCACTCTGGGTAAAAAGCAAAAGATTAGAGGAAACTGGGAAACTGAGGCTGATGCGGCAAAAGTCCTTTTTAAGCTGGATTGGTATTTTGTCCTTCTTACCTTAAAAAGTCTTCCCTAATATGAGGCTCAACTCAGTACTCAGCCACTTTCCCAAAACCTTTCCAAACACAACATTAACATTCTCTATTTAAGGCTTTTACACCTTCAGAAAACATTACAAAAATTGGTTTTGGGTGGTTTAAAATTAGATTGGCTTTTAGTTTCATCTTAATGGATTCTACAGCTGAAGACTTCTTGTACCAGCCTGAGAACAGACCAGCAATTATAGTTTATTAGTGATCCTTTTTTTAGAATGGCCAAGACAGTGTAGCACTGAGATTGTAGTGGTAAACTGATAAACTGTACTATTAGAAAGAAAAAAAACACTGTAGTAACAAAGCAGTATCTAACAAGGCTTTGGGGTTTGGGTTTAATCAAGGCAGAGTTTATGCTTGTAATTTAGGTTGTAGCACAGCTTTCAAAAATGTATAGGCTAAATCATTTTCTGAATTTAGGGCAACATGTTATTCTGTCAGACAGTGGACTTCAGTTTCATGAGGGAGCCGAAATCCGCTAAAATGTTGAAGGATGGTCATTTGACCTAACTTCTTCTTACAGTATAGAAGAAGTATGTGTATTTCTCAGAGTTATGTTTTTAACGATTTCAATAGTTGGAATTCATTTGGTCTGTGGAACAAAAATAAAAGTGTCTGAACGGGCTTTTGTTCCCTCAGCTGGAATTGAATCGACTTACATGGAATCTAACAGATTTGCAGAAAATTAAAATAAAACACGTAACAGAGCCTGTCCGCTTTGGATCCTGGGAGCTGGGCTGTAAGAGGTGGGGGAGAGCTTCAGAGAGGAGGCTAATCATTCGCAGATGAAAATAAGAAGAGTCCAGTCCAAGTAAAAAAAAAAAAAACAAGTTCATGCTCCTTTTCCGTGTGTCACTGAACAAATGTGTCCCTCTGCGATTTTTTTATACGAGTATTTAGATAAAAACACTGAGCTGATTTTACTGTGTAGCAGGATCCTGTTTTCAACTAGATATAGAGACTTTTGCGCTAGAAGTTGGTCTGCGGAAAAAAGCACGGAGACACTTGAGTTAGAAGTAGCTTTAACTCACTAAGACGTACCGATTTTCCTCATTCAAAACTCAAAAATGTCTTTCTCTAAACCACAAACTTGACTTGGTTTGTTAAAAACAGCACATGGATCTTGTTGCAAGGTATCCAAGGCACTCTTGCTGAGATAGTCCCATGAATTCTATCAGTCTCCATTATTTTTTTAGGTCTGCTTGCTTCACACACGTATACATTCTCCTAGAGCTCATTCATAATTGATTTATGCGCATTGTTTGTCAAACAAAAGCTAATTCCTGTCCTTTTTGGGTTGAACACCTAACCCCCCCAGAGCTGCCTCTCTCATGATAGATGACTTCACTCCCTCATCTATCCAGAGCCCTGGACAGCCCCCCCTTCTTATCTATGCTTAGAGAAAACCCCCCGCCACACTTGTACAGTGCGCACACACACACACACACACACACACACACACACACACACACACACACACACACA